AAAAAGAAGGGTGAGGGGGGGGGGGGAAGAATAGTGCTAATCTACAGTCATGGGGTTAAATGAAATGTGTCAGGAACTTCTGACAGGAAGAACTGGAAAGAGGGAACATCTTACTGTATGCAGTTCCTTAAGGAATAAGCATAGAATGAATGTGACTTAATAGCACCTGTTTTATGCAGAATATTCCTCAGTGGATAAAAAGTTTAAACTTGACTGACGCTTACAAATAGTAAGCTTTAATACAAATCCATTTACTCTTACATTGTAGCAAGTTTTAGAAATGCCAGTTTTTACTAGGGAAGAGAAACTTACCTGAGCTTTAAGCCACATATGTAGCCCTTCTTTGCTACAGAGGACAGGCTCTGAGGAAACAGCGTAGGTAATCTGTGTATTAAAGAAAAAATACTGCTCGCAAATCTATACATGAATCCCCCACAAAATACCCAAAGGTATAGTGAGTTTTACATTAATCAGCAAATTACCTAAGTTTTAAATTGGTTAGCAAATGACCTAAAATAGTGCAGAGAAATCAATTTTAGCAGATGTGTTGATGGGTATGCTGTTAGACATATAGGAATATCAATTATAGTAATATTTTTCTCCTCCAAACCAAAGTTACTGAAGGTTTTTGAGCCAGACTGGGAAGCACCTGCTGCCACACAGAGGATTAGATCGCTAGGTTGTCAGACTCTAGCAAAGGCTTAATTTATGTTTTGGTTTGGGTTTGAGGGGTTTGCTTGTTTCTTTTACAGGGTGTTTTGCAGAGGAAATGCATGCTAAGCAGGTCTTAAATAAAAAGAATGATACAATGTTGTTTGCAGTTTATTGTGTGAGCACTTTAAAAGTATTGCATTTGTTTTGTTCTAGCCTTTAGGTCTTTGAAACCAGACTCCTCCTTGAACTCATCTAAATCTTACTCAGAGGTAAGAAGCATCTTGCACGAGTGAAGTTGCACTGCCTTTTGCTGTTTTCTGATTTGAAAAATAAATATATGATCAAAACATTAGCCTAAACCATCAGATTGTTCCCAAGCTATCAGTTCCAGCAGTAAGTTTCCGCATGTTAATTTGTAGACCTTTTGTACCCTTTTTCAGTATGATGTTTGTCAGAGAAAAACAAGACCATGTTTTATTTGTGACCATAGTCTAAGATACAGAGTATTTTGGGGGTTTCTGCAAGATCAAAGATCTGAAGGGCAAAACTTGTACTGTGTTTGCACATTGCACGGTTCTAGCCTGGAGCCCTGTCAAGTGTATATTATAACTAAGTAGGTATATAGTTGGAAAAAACCCCAAAGGTTCTGTGCTATAGTACCGTAGCATTACGTGCTATATCTCTGTAATAATAAATTCTGTGAAAAAACTTCATAAATTATGTAATTTTTTCAGGATATCATAGATGATGACTCTGATCTAGAAGACATTTCTATTGTTCCTTCTTCCAAAGCAAATCAAAGGTCGGTATGTTTACTTCACGAATGCTACCATGACTGCCTTATTTCTGGTGGGCCATCAGCAGAGGCCAGGGCTCTGATCCCCTACCTGAAAAAAACAGATTTTTAAGAAAGTCATAACACTACTTAGAGACTTTATATAAATTTTTACCTGTTAATGTGGATGATCTTTCTATAACAATAAATTGGTCTACTGATTGAGATAAGCTAGGTCAGAGCTTTGGATTTAATATGTTAGTTTGAAAATTTGAATCGTTCTACTTATTTTTATTCATTCTTACCTCTGTGTTGGTTGTCCAAATCTAAGTTGAAGGGAAAGTTATTGGAAAGTCTGGTAACTGAGAACATGCTGATGTCTTTTGTCCTCTTTGTATGTTTCAAGGTTGTCAACTACACCTTCACTTAGTAAAAGAGGTTCACAAAGCCAAACATCTAGAGGAGTTGATTTTGAGTCAGATGAGGTATGGTATATAGTGGTCTTTTTTTCTTTTATTTCATATGAGTTTCTATAACTTACTGTTTTACAGCTATTTGAATAAAGCATTTCAGAGTAAATTTGAATTATTTTTATTTTTCACTAACGGGGCTAGATTATTGCAACCAACTTTAATTAGAATATATACATAATCATCAAAAATAAGGCTAGAAGGGACCTCAGGAAAATATCCAGTCCTTTTTCCCTTCAGTTCTTAATCAGTTAATTGTCATTCCTGAAATGTGTGGGGTAGGTTATTTTGCCTGGGGAAGAAAGTAATCGTAATCTCTTCTAGTGCCTGGCTATGTTCTTTCATTTGTTTATGTATTTTATTCTTGTAAAAAGGAGGAATTTTATTTTTTGCATTTAAAAATGGCTATTTTCCAGGGCACTTCATTGTTTTACTCTTGCAAATTATGTAAATACACTGTAAAAAAAAAATTAAAACACTGTCTTCAAGTTTAAGATGTCTGTTCGTGCAGTATACATTTGAACTGCTAGGAAATGGTTTCTTCCATTATTAAACAAGTAGAACTTTATGCACAGTTTTGCACTGAATAGAATACACACTATCCTGTCAAGCACTGTGCGGTTTGTTTTCACAGACTAGCAGACTGTCACGTATGGTCCATATGCTAGCCTTAATAATGTCAGATGTTGGCCACTTCAGAGCAAATGTTACTTTCTTGTCCCTTCTCTCCTCTATGCTAGCTCTTCTTATACCTGAAATACAAAACTACATGTTTGCTTGAACCTGTAAAAAGAAACAGTATTTTTGATTCATGCAAATCTCAGTAAATTATGATGTGTTATATGTATATGGACATAACTTCATAGAATCATAGAATGGTTTGGTTGGAAGTGACCTTACTTCGTTGAGGTGTGTGCTGCTCATAATGATAACGTTTTCCTGAATATAGATTGTTTCCCGTTTCAAAGCAGCTGTTCTGATCATACTGACATAAACTCAGTTTCTGTTCTCTGCACGTTTGTGATCTGGATTTTTAAATCAATGGATAATCTCTTGCATGTCAAAACCAACAAAAACAGGTCTGTCAGAAAACGTGGAATAATGTGACTAGGCTTTCTAGTTTAATCTAAAGGTGACTTTACTTCTTATGACTCGGAATGCACGCTTGTTCTAGTAATGCGTATCTGTTTACAAATTGCAGGATGAATTCGATCCATTCAAAAGCACTGCAGCATCAAGGAGAACTAAGTGATTTCTGGCTCGCTATACAAGAGAGACCGTGAAAGTTAGTGAAGAGAATGGAAAGCAGTTTGCAAGGCATTCTGTATAAGACGTTTGTCTGTAAATGATTGTTTACCTTCAGTTTTCACTTCTACGAAAAGTTTTTGGATTTTTTTTTTTTTTTTCAGTGGCACCAAATTTGGTATAATTTGGGTGTTGCATTGCTTGATGCATTAGACTACAGTGTCTAATATTCTGAAGTACTGCCTGAAACTGCAAGTCCTTTCTAAAACTTCTAAAAGCCTGATTTCTTTCTGAGATTATAATGTAAGTAACGGTCATATCTTTTATAGAAAACTCCATCTCTTGGGTTTGAATTTTGCAAAGGAATAAATTTGTAGTAGTATGCAAGTATGGATATGGACACAGACTTGGTCAGCATATGAAACTTGTATTTATTTGCAGTTTTTTACAGATACAGCTGAAAACGCTGAAGAGTAATAGTTTGGCCCAAAAATACAGTTTTCAGTATTGAAACTGGAAAATGTTCTAATACTTTCAACTCTACTAGGAGAACTAAACCCACTATTGCACTGCTATTAAATGTCATAGTATACGGGAATGAGTTATGCTCTGTAATTCAAGAAGTGCCAAAGGGGACTTTATCTTTTAATGTTGCAGGCACATCCTAGGCAAAGATTTTAGCAAAGTATATACCTTTTTCACAATTTTTTTTCAGTCAACTGTCCAATTCACAGTGGCTTTGTTTAGTGTTAAACTGCAGCAGTTCTCGAACTGTCTTGTATAGAAGATAAAGGTGGCATCCTTCACTTCAGGGGAAAAATGTAACCTGATGTGTGTAGAAAGACTGTACTATAAACAAATACTTCTTCTAATCGTTAATGTCATTTGTTATACGGGGGGGGGTAAGATGCTCAGAAAATCATCATTATTTCTCAGAGATCACACTGGATAGTTTTTGAGAAGTCGCTTCTCACTCATGTAACTGCCCCAGGAAAGCTCAAAAATTGAGCAAAGCCATGGTAGTGGAAGAAGGGTTATTCCCAGGGAAATGGTGGGGGCAGAAGTTACGCATACTCTGCTGTGTATTTAAAAAAAAGCATTATTCCTTTTTTTTTAATGCTTCCAAATTGCATTTTTTAGTGTGTCTGGGTGATTATTTTTTTTTATATTCCTCTTACGACCTTTTTTTTTTCATCAGGCCTGTTTTCTAATTTATTATAGTTTTGTTGAGTGCTATTGCACAGATGTTTTTGATGACTTTTTTTGGTTACCTGAATTCATGAGCTGTGTAGCTTTATTTCAAACATTTTCTAAATACGGTTCACTTTATAAATTACATCATTTCACAGATACCTCTTACAAAAACCAGCAACAGCGTACCAAATCCTGACATTCCTGTGCAGTTTCTTCCTTTGCTATCAGTGGGTGCTGGGGATGGTGGAGCAAGGGTGAAGTCAGCAGGAGCGGGTACCAAGCTGACAAATCTACTACAGGCTGTTCTCTAGTAACAACCACACGTTGGTGAACTGTTCAGACACTTCGTACTGGGGTGTGTTTAGATACAAACTAAACCAGAAAGGTGATGTGAGGCAGAGAAGAGCACATGGGAGAGACATGACCCAGGGAGCTTCCACTGGGCTTTTTTAGTGACCCTTTGTGGGTTATTTCGAGTGGGCCTGTGTGGTGGGACCACTTCCTTTGGATCACAAGATGCTGAGTCCAGCTCGGAGGAGGGTGGGCTTGAGCTGTGTGAGAGGAGATTCCCATCCTTCTCCCCAGCAGCCTGGCTTTGAAGGTGAGATGAAGGCCTCCTGATCTCCTGGAAGCAATTGGTCTTCAAAGACAATGATGGCTCTGGCTACATGTACAAGGGTACACCGCTAGAAATGAAGAATTAGATCAAGGGGAGTAAACAGACAAAGCTAATAATTTTTGCTGGAATATGGATTATAGTACAGGGGAGCAGGATCTGATAGATGTGGAAGAATAAGAGCTGGAGTTTGAGTGTCAGAAGACAGAATACCCTTGTGCATTGGCCAGCAGCACTGAAAAGGAGTGGAACTTGGGAGCTGCTGGAGCAGCCCAGCAAGAAGGGGGATGTGTCTCACCAACCACTCTGTTCTTATCCCAAACCCACACCAGAACGCTGCCCCTTCCCACTTTCTGCCATCTCCCTGGGCCTTTACGTTACATTGTGAGAACTCTGTGTTTTCCTGGCAGCATCTGATCGGGGGCATCCTCGCTGGCCGAGTGCTTCTGAGCTGGGCGCACATTTCTTTCTTCTTTCTGAATGGTCACAGGTGACTGCCACTTTAGCAGCTCCAGCAGGTTTGCTAGAAAGCTTCCTCTGAGACAGGCAAACTGCCAAAAGAGCTCGAGTTGGACAATTTTGTGGAGGAAATAGATGCTGGCAGCAGTTTGCAGAGCAGTGCTGTGGGCTGGCTATGCTGGCTGTCCTGCTGCGTTCAACTCCTGAGCAGGGATGAAAAGGCAGCCTGAGTCATTCACTGGGGGAGTCACAAGCATCTTCTGGAAGTGTTATTTCACCAGTGAGTGACCAGCTTATTTTATAAGCTTTTCAGATAATGGCCTTTTAACTGATGGTTAAATAAAGCCTTTTATGTACTGAACCTGCTCTGGCCAGGGTTAGTTCACACCTCCCAAGCAGATCTGTCCCCAGCAGAGGGGCAGCACCTTACACGTGCACTCGTGGAGGGGCACATCCCTCTGTGCTGTGTAGAATTGTGGCTCTTGGTTTTAGATTTCCTACGGTGTTTTTGGGAGGAAGGCAGAGGGAACGCACATGCCATCTCGTCGGTGTTTGGGTTCAGCATACAGCTGCCTGTTGCTTTGGAGACTGGACTTGCTGAGCTGGGATATCCCTTCCCATCCTCTGTCCTATATAATCACCTCTTTGTAACTACCCCTGTGTTTCTACAAACCCTAGAAAGCACAGTTTCACATCAACCTTTTTATTCCCTTGGCCAAGAGGAAATCCCAGCCAAGGGAAAGCTTAAGCATTTCTCTGTCTCTCTGAGGGGAAAAAAGATCTTTGGAAAAATACTGTAAGTACAGTAAGCCAGCTTGTTATTCACAGTTCATCTGTTACCCCCCCCTATTCTATGCTAGTTACTAAGTGTCATGCTGTGAAATAGGCTGAAACTTGCCTGCCAGACCTTTAAAACTGAGCTTAAAATTGAACTGTATCCTGGAAGAGAGCAGAGCTACCACACAGGCTGCTGGTCTGTGAACAGCACAGAATTTGCACGAGCTGGGCTGCTAGTAGAGAAAAAGGATGCTGACGACTGGAGAGATTGATTTGCCTTTCTCACAGATGTGCTTATCTTGGAGTAGCGCCCGGGGGAGCGTGACAGCGTGGAAAAGCAGCACGTCAGAGCAGAAATAATGTCATGCAGCCCAATGGCTGCGGAAGATCCTGGCTCAGAGCTCACCTGGGGGTATAAAGCTGGCTGAAGGAGCAAAAGTAGCGGTGAGCCGAGCAGGAGAGGAGCACGCTGCGGGAGGCAGGAGCATCCACCCTCTCCTGCTGCTTGCTCGCGTGTTTGCAGCCCCCATAGCGTGCCTGGGCTGAGCGAGGGGAGGACAGCTCTCCCGGCACACGGCGTGAGCTCTGCTCTCTGGCAAACGAGCTGTTTCCAAATTGGAGGAGTGGAGCGGCGTTTCAGAGATGTTGTCCTGGTTTCTCTGGCTCTCCCTTCCTAACTTGGTTAACGCCTTTGCGACCTCAGGAAAGTTGCCCCTCAACAGGAGCCTGCAGAAGACTTTTATAATCCCGAACATCTCGGGTTTCTTTTCCTGGGATAACGACAGCCTGGCTGACTGGCAGAGCTTTGTGGGCAGGAGCCGGTACGGAGCGGAGTCGCAGAGCATCACGGTGAAAGCCCTGCTCATCACAGCGTACTCCTTCATCATTATCTTCTCCCTCTTCGGCAACATCCTGGTCTGTCACGTTGTCATCAAGACCAAGCGCATGCATTCTGCCACCAGCTTGTTCATTGTGAACCTGGCTGTAGCTGATATTATGATCATGCTCCTCAACACGCCTTTTACTCTGGTAAGACTGGGACGGAGATGCCATAAAGGCATCGCTGTCACTTTGATGGCCTTTTCTTCTTTACGCCACTATAGGCAGTGCATGGATGTTCTGCAGATACCTGTTCAGTCCAAATTACAGTGATTGGAGTTATCTTTGGAAAACTCCACATCTTCTCTAATTCCTGTCATCTAGTTGGAGATCTGAAATTATCCATTTCTTAAAAGTGGCCCTGATAGTACTTGAACAATAATGACCTTGTGGTGATTACTTAGTACTTTGTAGTATCTGGTCTTTTTTTCCCTTCCCTTCTCTGAAGTGTTTCCAAGGTAATGCTATGAACCTCTTGGGATTAATGCTCACCATTGTTTTGCAAGCTGTGTTGAAAAGCCCTAGTTTGCTTTGAAGTACGAGAAGACATATAGGTCAGCCCTGTCCTGTAAGGAGGGCTTCAAAAGGAAAAACTAACGTATTGACTCAGTAGTTAGACTGCAGAAGGACACACTGTGAATAAGCCAGAACAAACATCTTTGGTACTGCCCTGCTGTGTTCTCCTGGAGGATGTTGCTGGGCCACTGAGCAGCGCTAACCTTCCTCTTCAGAGCTCAGAAGCCAGAAAATTATACATTTATACAAAGAACCTGCTATTTTTTAAAATACCCTTTACGTATCACAAGGCATTGTGTGCCAGAGGTGTCTCAGGTATCTATAAGCATGTGGGGGGGTGTAGGGGGGTGCACATAACTAATGGTGTTCTGGTTTTAGGCTCGTTTTGTGAACAGTACCTGGATATTTGGGAAGGGGATGTGCCACGTCAGTAGGTTTGCGCAGTACTGCTCCCTGCACGTCTCTGCCCTGACCCTCACAGCCATTGCCGTGGACAGGCACCAGGTGAGAGCTCTCTGAAGCAGACGGACAGAAAGCTTGGGGGGACATAATGAAAATGAGGAAGGATGATCCCTTGTCCTTTCCTTCTCAGCTCCTAGGTTAACGTAAGATGCACGAGGAGCTGACAGGGTAGGGGAGCAGTTCTTGCTGTCAGATGGAAAGAAGTTTCAAGCCCACAGCAAGGTGGGAGATGGGAGATGTCCGTTGCCTTGCGATCGCTTCCAGCTGGGGAAAGGGAGCTTTTCTGTGGTAGATAATCCAGTAGCTTTCAAAGGAGTAGAAAGTCCAAGATCCTGATAGGAATCCACATGGGCAGCTCTCCTCTGGGGTGGTTTGTGTAGCACCAGGGATGTAGGGACATCCCAGTTAGCTTCCGCAGCTCTGTCTCCCTTTGCTCCGGGCTGTCTCACCCCTTGTTACCCCGAATACCGGAGAGCTGACTGTAGCATACTGATACTTGTCACAAGCAGAGCTGTGCTTGCTGTTGATAACGAACTCAAAACTGGGGGCAGTTTGGCATTATCAGTTTGGAGTCACCCAACAACCACACAAAACTGTTGATAGTTGACATTTTCTGCTAGAAAGCTGGTTTCCAGAAAATGCACTGGCTGTCAGAAGCATCCCCAGGGAGGTCTGGTTAAATCACAAACCCGTGGTTCTTTGGGTCACCAATACTGAAGAGTCTGAGACTATTTTCTCCTCTCCTTTTTTTTTTTTTCTTTTTTTTCCTTTTGTTGCCATTAAGTAAATTGAACCTGGAAATGAATGTGTGTGCAAGACCCCCTGGTACCTAGTTTTTCCCACCTAGATGCAAATACCGAAATGTGAGGGTAGGGTTGGGATCTGACTTTACCCATTTCCATGGAGGAAAAATTCAGGCTTTCGTGTACAGCTTACAGTCAACAGGAGCTGAGTGAAGACTGTACTGCTTGCATTCTGAATTTCCATGTTAAATAATGGATTTAAGGCTGGAAGATCATGTGAAAAAATGATATCATTATTTCCTGAAATGTCTTATTGGTTCATTTTGCACAGGTTATAATGCACCCTTTGAAACCTCGCATATCTACTGCAAAAGGTGTTATCTACATCTCTGTAATTTGGATCATGGCAACTTGTTTTTCCCTACCACATGCGATCTACCAAAAACTCTTTACCTTTGAATACAGGTAAGGATGTGCTTTGCTTTCCTCCAGAGTCTCCCTGGAGGCCAAACTCTTGGTGGTCATATTTTGGCATCTTCTACTGAAAGCCCTGAGCTTATGTTGAGGTCAGCCAAATAGGGATCTAGTCTATAATTTTCATCAGATTCCTTTCTCAATGGCTGATACCCTGTCCTTGTTTCTGGTTTTAATTATTTTATCTTTATTCTGTCACACTAATCACATGAAATAGGCTAAGAAGTTAGAGGATCTGGACTGGACCCTCTATACACTGGCATTTTACACAGTGTACTAATCTGAGCTGTATAGGCAGACCAGAAATGGGAAAAACCTAAAACCTAACAGATTTTAATCTACTCTTTAGCCCTGGGAAAGTGAAAAAAATCTGCCTCAGCTGCTTGTTCCATAAAACTCTGTCATGAGCCTTGATACTTGGAAAGTGCTTTAATGAGGGAAATGTCCTTAATATATGCAGCCACTGCATTTGTGTTTGCCAAAGGACAGAGAATAAAAACCTGCTTCTGTGCAGGAAATCTTGTAATTGATCAAATTCATAAAATTATCAGAAGGTCATGAATGCCCACAAGAAATTATTGCTCACAGGCTGCTCCGTGGCTCGCGCCCTTGGGCAGCAGAGCTCTGCTGAGCTGTGACACATGCATAAACGAAAGGTCTGCCTCCGGGCCAGGAGCCCTCTCCCACCTCCTTGTTTCCGAGGTACTTCTGCCATGCCCGGCCGTATGGGCTCTCACCTCCTCTCCAATATCTCCACTTGCAGTGAGGAGGTTACCCGGTGTCTGTGTCTGCCGGATTTCCCTGAGCCTGCTGATGTCTTTTGGAAGTACCTCGACTTAACAACCTTCATTTTGCTCTACGTCCTGCCCCTTCTGATCATCTCTGCTGCCTACGTGACAGTGGCCAAGAAACTCTGGCTGCGCAATGTCATCGGGGATGTCACCACTGAGCAGTACTTTGCCCTTCGCAAAAAGAATAAGAAGACCATAAAGATGCTGATGCTTGTTGTCATCCTCTTCGCAGTCTGCTGGTTCCCCTTGAATTGCTACGTCGTCCTCCTCTCCAGCCAGACCATCCACACCAACAATGCCCTGTACTTTGCCTTTCACTGGTTCGCAATGAGCAGCACTTGCTACAACCCCTTCATCTACTGCTGGCTCAATGACAGCTTCCGATCAGAACTGAAGGCTTTGCTCAACATGTGCAGAAAACCTCCTGGGCCCACCAAACAGAGGCTTCCCTCCGTGGTCCCATCCTACCGACTGGCTTGGCCAGAAAATGGCAACTTCAAGAGGTTGCAGGCCTCCCATGTCCTTCCATCAGCCTCCAACATCCAGTCAGGAAAGACAGACATCTCTGCAGTTGAGCCGATAGTAGCTGTGAGCTAAACGGTGGCCCTGGGAAATCTATAAGGACCGCAGATAGACTTGCCTACGTAGAGACTGTGCGACCACGCATGATAAAACCAAGGAGGTTCTGCAGGAGGTACTGCGAAAGAGCTGCATGTTTGATGCAGGCTGATAGTAATGGCGTGGAGCCACTAACGGGGAGAAAGCAAACCCTTCCCAGGAAGGAACTGTCTTTGTCAAGTCAACTTCGGTTCGGCTTGCAGGATGGGATTCTGTGCACGTGTGTCACTGTTATCTGCGTGACTAAGCCTTTTTAACCACTGGGGCTGTGTGTGTGTTTTGCTGGTACTTAAACACTAAAGCAACAGTCTCATCTCATCAGGCTTCCCTCCCCCTTTTCTAAGTCTGTTCATAGCAACATGGAAGTGGTCGAGGTGTAGACCTTTAGGTTGCTGGCTTAGATCTAGTGCAGCTGGGTACGAAGGCATCCCTTCTGAACTGGAGTGCGAAAAGTCAAGATCTGTTCAGAATGAATGAACAGATACATTTCACAAATCCGTTTTTTTGTGGAAATACCCTCAGAGAAGTGGAGGGTAAGATGGACATTGATAAATAGAGGAGTCTCTTACTTTGCAGGCACTTTTTCTAAGGTAGATTTGAAGAAAAATGGGTGCCTATTCTTTGCATAAGTAGAGGACGAACACCAACCTGTTAGCTCAGCATCTGCCGCCAGTGCTAAATCACACAGAATTTTTCTTTCCTAAGATAAAGTCATGAGTATTCAGAAAACTTTTCTGCAAATAGAGAACCAAACCCCCAAACGGTACTTTGGAGAATGTTGGACATACCATCCACAGTTGGAGAATGGGTAATTAAACACTACTCTGAGTTTGGACTAGGGCCTTTTGATCAGAGCATCTTTGCATTATTGTGAAGTGACAGCTAAAGTATCCCACAGTTTGACTTTTTAGTTTGCCTTTGAATGTTGTTCTCGTATCCTGTAAAGCACCTGGGTACTTCTCAGATCAGATATTTGGGACATTTTGTCCCCAACTAAGATGTTAGGTCACTGGAATCAGTTCATAAATGAACTGCTTTGAGAGAGCAGATGATCTCTCTGATAGCAAGTAATAAAAGTGGAACATTTCTCTGCAAAATACCCTCTGATGATTGCACAATTTTGGTGCCTTTAAAGACAAGTGAGATGTGTCCTTCTTGGAATGGCTAAGAAAATTCATGTGACTGGAGCTGTCTGGAGTAGTTTGCAGAACTTAATGTTCTTAGCAGAAGAAAATCTGATTTTGAATAATGAAAAAAGACGGGCATTCAAAAAACTGTTCCTTGTATTGCAGAGGAAAGCAATAACTCTCTCCGTGCTGTGGAAATTAGCTTGAATGTCACGCCTGGGTGCCCCATTCCGCATTCAACTTGCAGCAGCCAGCAGTGAAGTGAGAAAAATCTTCTTTTTATAAAGGACTATAGATGGTTGGGGGTGTGGGCGCGGGTGGGAAGAGAAACTGTTTTTCCCAGTGTCTTGTAATAAACTTACATTTCTGAAATCATTTTAAGCCTTGCAGGTCTTTCCCACCTGAGTATTTAAAGAGACTGCAATGCCTACCGCACCTTGCAGCTACCCTGTCCTTTCACAAGGTGCGATCAGTCTCTCACTTGGAATCCTGTGCAATTTTACTGCTGGTTATCAAGGCCCCATGAGTCAGAGTGCTTTGTATCACTGATACGCAGAATCAAACCATTCCTCCTGCCTGTGTTGACCCCTTAAGCCAAGACTCATTTCTTCCCTTCACGTTTGTAACACATCAGCCCTGAAGTGGTCAGGGAGTTGGACTAGCTGATCGTTGTAGGCCTTTTCCAACTGAAACATTATTCTTATTCTGTTCTATTCTTATTCTGTTCTATTCTACGGAGATCCCAGACATGCAGAGCCTGTGAACCACACTCCCCATCCACTGACAGCACATCCCAACTCTTTACCAGCAAATGAACCTTTGGGAATGCTGAGTACTTGTGCACTTAAAAGAGGAAAGCAGTGATGGGGTGTTTTTAGATCCGCAGTAACCTTGGACATACTGTGAACTGCTGTGAATCAGACCCATTCCCTGATTTCAGTTGCGCAAGATCTGGCCTGTAAGTTCAGTATAAGAAGATTTATATTAACATGCCAAAGCATGTGAGAGAAGCAGGGACCTCAGCCCATTTCTACTCTACAAGAGAGAGAGCTCTGGTAGTGTTGGAAAGCCCTCTTCGTGAGAGTTTGGGACGTTAACCCATCCCTCCCAAAGGCCGTTCAGTCGACATTATCCTTTCATTTTTCGCTTTGCCTCTTCCTTCCTTGTAATTATGCAGCTCCAATTTAATTTCAGAGTCCCTCATAACCCCTTGTGCTCATCACTTTTTAACTATTTAAACATTTCTCCCAGATACTAAAATATTTCCCCAGGAGAGGTAAAATGTGTGTGTGCATATATGGGCAAGGGATAAAGCAACAAATTAGACGCTGCATTTGGTTCCCTTGATCAATAAAAAAAAGGTCTGTGTTTATGTGTAGTTTCTAGCAGCAAGTGTTCACTCACCGGTAGCAAAGAGGAGGGAGAAGAGTGATGAGGAGGAGGCGGACAGGGGAGGGAGGGTGTGATGGCAGCAGGAGGAAGGAGAGACTCAGAGACAGGACACAAGGGAAGGGGATGGCGTGAGGAAAGAAGATACAGGGAGCCAACACCATCTTCTTCTCTCCTTCATTTTCTCAGGTTTTGTGACTGTTGCCATCATTTCAAGACTGAGATAGGATAACTAAGCATTTGAATCAGAAAAGACAAACATGGATATTAAAAAGGGTAAGAATTTATCTATTAAAAATCCGTAAGATGGATTTGCATCCTGACTGTCCTTACGATAAGATACCAGGACAGATGGATTTGCATCCTGACTGTCCTTACGATGTCTTCTGTAAGACCCATTTGCTGGAACAGGGACTGTAAGAACTGTCGTTGCTAAAAGTGCTCGTGTGAGACTCCTCTGGAAGTAGTTTCTAGCTGTGGCAATGGCTCAGGTAAGGACATGTTGCTCTCCAAGACTGTGCTGGGTCCGTGGGAAAAAGGGTCTTCAGCGGTGAATGAGAGGTGCCATGGGAGTGTTGCTGGCCTTCATTTTAATGCAGGTATTTACTTCCCGCTGGCTGCACTTCCAAACACTAGCATCCTCACGTTTTGTTCTGCGTTAGGCCATTTGATAGGCCAGGGCTTTTGCTAACTGCGCACATCTAGGACATACTCCCATCGCAAAAGCTCTGTCTTCTCTCTCCCAGTGTTGTCCTTCCTAGGGCACTTCCATTGCCTCAGCTGTCACCCTTCTGATTTCCACCAGGGTTTTGCCTTCTTCATCACTTAGGTGACCCAACCCCACCACCCCCTGAGGCAAGAAGCCTTCTGAACTGCCCACTGACCAAACAGGTTACATGAAATCCTCAGACAGATCGTTTAAAAAAATTTTTTTCACAAGCCAAGAAGTGGTTGTGGTGGGTTCATCTACCAGGTCCCTTCTGTAGTGTTTCTTGGTACTTTGCAGGAAGCTATGCTGTTTTGTTTCCTCATCTTCTTGGTACCACCACAAAAACCCCAAACCCTAGACTTTTTCCAAATCTCCAAGTACATAGAGTACTCCTGAATAAGAATCTAATTCTTTGGCTCACTTCATAGACGGTGTGAGGGTTACCTTGTACTCCTGGCATTTGTTTAACTCTTATTCCAGGCATAAACGCCAGGGACCTCGATACGAGCCTTAGTGAAGCCAGATAGTCTTAAGCACAACACAGACATTGGGAGTACTTACTCTTGAGTTGTTTCACCTGCTCCTGTTCTGTTTGCAACAATCCAGCTCTCAGAGCAATGTCACAGCAGCATGAAAACACCTGTGTAGCGATGACAACCACTCATTGAGGTGAATATAGTCTAAACTTCATTAAAAACAGAATTACAAACTTCCTTAAGACAGATGTAATATTTCACCTACCTTTTAAAATGCAGTAATTGCTTTGAGCCACAGGTTAGAAATAAGGCTGTTCCTGTGAGCCATAGGGCACAATAGTATAATTTTGACTATTCATTTCAACAACATGACACTCGTTATTGAAAAGTAAAGATTTACACCAAGTGGCTTCCTTAAAAAGTTTTAACCCAGACGGACAGAAGCCACCATAGACAGCAGACAGTGGTGGTGGAGGTTAAATCCCTCTGATCACCTCCATCATCAGAAAACCACTCATGACCTGATTTCTGTCTTCATGTTCACAAAGTGCAGCCAGGACATCTTTTGCTCGTAGGCTCATTAAATGGGGCTCGAGGCTCCGGTCCTAAACTTGTCATCAAAACTCCTACTGAAAAACCACCTACTGCTCCCAGCAAGAGAAACAAAACAAGGACCTAAAATATACTCTTTATTCCGAAAGCGACTGACAACATCCAGAGGAGGAAAAGCAGCAGGGTACAGCTGCTTTTACAGGTACACCATCTTCTACTGGAATAAACTTTTTTTTTTTTTACTCTCTTTCTGTGTAATCCAGTTTATATCACAAGTTTTAAATCTCACAAGGTAGCTAAGAGCCATTGAACGGTGTTGTAAGGCAAAGAGCGTGCAGAGGAGCTAGCTGCAGCTCTCCTGCATTTGGAGGACTATCAATACTCAAGAGATGGAGAGAGAAGGGTCAATCAGAGGATGGCACGGACCAAACCTCAATCTCAACACTGTCATTTTACTTTGGGGGCTATTTAAAAAAAGAGACAGATGGATGTAGCTCTTTCTAGACAGAGTGTAGTGATGAAGAGGCTGAAGATGAACTCTTTTCCTTAAGGCCTAAATTGGAATTTAGCCCATCTTTTGAAAACAGCAAACTACAGCAGGAGCAGCGCCACTAAAATCTACGTAGAACTGAGCTGGGCAGTTGCAGAAACACATCTTAAAACAGCAAGATACAGCTGAAAAGCTCAAACGTGTTGACACTGTGGCCAATTTTTCAGTAGTAACTTACACAATAGATAGACTATTTATCATTTGC